CCCCAAAACCCCAAAACCCCAAAACCCCTTAACATTTAATTGTAAAATTGTTCAAGTTTATAATTATATAAATCAATTTAATCATATTTTAAAGGTTCATTAATTTGTTAGATCCCCATATCCAAATGAATCTAATTCCCTTTTCTCATTCTTGTGGTAGTTTAAAGTATTCACAATATAATTCTCTTTTCCTAATGAATTAGTCTGAGATTACTTAAATTTTCCTGTAGACTCTAGCATTATAACTTAGTTGAATTTATTGTTTTCTCTATGCATAAAATTATCATTAATTGGTTCAAGTTCTGCCATACTCAGCTTTTATGTATCAGAATTCAGGAACTAGTTATTTAGGACATTATTGTTTTCTAAGCCAGTATTATATAGATTGAATAGCTTATATTATCTTTATTTTAGTTAAGTTAATTCACTAAGAGCAAGTCTTTGATTTTCATCCATTTTCCTTTATATGTTAGCAATGTTTAATAAAATACTCTCAGTCTCAGGTCTTTTATTGTTAAATTAAAGTTCGAGATTTTTTACAATTCTCGCCATGTCTTCTACCATTGAGAGCACTTCATGTAGTTACTTCTCATTTTCTTTACTTATTGATTGATATTTGTTTTCTTGAGTATTTTTTAGATGAGCTAATTATTAATCTAGAGATACTTTGAAGTCCAAATACTATTTTGTACTCTTGTTTTGAACAGCAGTAAACTAGTCTTCAATCTCTTCTCTTAACTTGTCCATATGATTTAAAGCCTTGTCTAAGGATTTACTAATTTGCTATGGAGTGGTTTGGGTAATTATTATATCATGCTTATTAATCTATTATTCAACGCTATTGAGTCTTTTCTCAAGAGTTTAATGGCGATTAACCAGCTCTTCGTATTAACTTTCTTTGATAGCTTTCAAATTTTCTTATTCCTATTTCTTGAGTAAAGCCATATCATTTTAAATTCTGTTATGATTTTCAGTCTGTCTTAATCTTTAATCAATCTAGTTTATTCTATCAAGCAGATAGTCTGTATTGCTAATAATTTGTTACTATGGCATTGCAATATAACTTTAAGATCCATGATTTTAAAAACTATTTTGCTAATCAATTAACTATTATTAATCTCTATGATTTGATGGCCCCCTTTGTTAAAAATCTTATCTATATCTTAAGTTTTGTTTACTTTAGCTTTCAACTAATTATCTCTATGAATTATGAATTGGTGGTTATTGTGTTATTGCACTAATATTTTTCTTATGAACCAAAATAGGAGAAAATTTCTAGATTTTACCTAGTTATTCTTCAATATAGTCATTATCACTTTAAACAATATTCAGTTTCAACGGTAAATTATTGCGGTTTTCATTGTGGTCCAAGGTGGTAGCCTAAGAATAGCAATTTTATTATTGCTGTTACAACTGCATTTAATATCTATGAGAATTTTGCTAGGTTAAGATTTGCTGTGGAATTGGAATAAGATTTTAGTTTTAGTAATTATTAATATTTTGATTGTTTATATTGAGACTACTGTGATTAGTAGCGTCTAATGAGTCTTATATTTAGCTTATGTTATTGTTAACTGAGGGATCTAACTCTAAAGGGGTATTTTAGATTAGTTTATGAAGAACTTTTTATGGAGTGGTTTGGTAGTTTTATTTCATATTTTAAATAATTTGAATAATTCCATTAAAAATCAAATTTTGGAATGATGGGGTTTTGGGGTTTTGGGGTTTTGGGG